AAAAAAAAAAAAAAAAAAAATAGTTGACAGTAAGTAATTCGATTGTCAACAATAAAGACTTGGAACACCGATTCTCCTTTCTTTCACTGTAATGTCGCAGAAATTTAGTATGTTGTAACCTGATATATGAACATTACTAAATAATAAAGCAATAAACTGAATTTAATAAAACGAAACGAAACGTCCTTTACCACAAAAGTGGTCGTCTAAAAAGTGGTCGAATAAAATGAGGTGTGGAAAACAAAAGAATGAACATAACTAAGTGAACATTTCCGCCGGGATGGAGTCTGGTTGAGTGTTTAATGTCGATCTCTTTTTCCTACTTAGGAGCACCTCATAGACAAGGCATTTCTTTAACATGTCAAATTGCTCATGAAGATTCAGGGGCTTTTGATTGTGTTTTTCCTTTAAGATGTTGACTGATCACGGAGTATCTGCGCTCCTCAATGCACAGGTGGAGGTGGCGGCTGGTGTAGCCTATATAACTTACATCGCACGAATTTCATATAAATTCATAAGGCACAAAAACAACAACAACAAAAAACAGTAGGTTAATTTTCTTTGATTGGATGGAGAGTACCGCACCTGTTTTGGAAACAACGAGAAATTGAGAAATCACAAAGCAAAGCGGAGGCGTGTTAATTACTGTACTGTTAATGGTCATCAGAAATTCGTTTTATTTTAATTTTGTCAAAGACTTGTATTTTTCTTTGTGTCACCTGAAGTGTGGTCAGCATAAGGCCCAGTGTTCCAGCTCGGAGTAGCGTATTGTTTGAGTGTCCATTGAAAATAGAAGACATTCCTCCAAAAGCAAAAGTGCACATCGAAGTTACAGTTTCCTTAAGAAAAAAAAAAAGAAAGAAAGAAAGAAAGAATTACTGACGTACTCAGCTTGCAAGCTCCTTACTTATTTCCACGTAACCAGTCTACTTGTCTACTCTTACTATATGAACGATTGAAGGTTCAGCGTAACAAGCTATCCAGCAACCTCGTACCCAGCGCTTTTCCCTTAAAAATGAGGGAAAGGGAAAAGGCCTGGGAATGAGGTTGACTATCTAGTTAAAACTCTCTAGGTAAAGCAGTTATGCCACGATATTTTAAGTATTTATTTTTTGAGGAACAAAATTACTTTCTAATTAAAGTTGAATGTGGTTCGAAAAATCGGGATTCAACTTAATTTTCCTTATGACAGAAATCAACCCGACTGGCTACTGAAACTTTTTTAGCAGGTTAGAAAAGGAACATAACAAAACAACCAGGACAGAGCCAGAACGTTAATGTCCAAAATACAAAGATATTTTGAAGAACAAAGGGTTGTTTGAAATCTCGCAAAAGATCAATTAAAAGACTATAGTTTGCTACTGAGCGTATTAACTTTTCGATATTCGCCATTTAAATTCCAGTGAGCCGAAGATGAAGATAAAGTAAAATATTTCTCATGGCCTGAGTTTGATAGACAAGTACCTATCCCGCCTCGTGATTCACTTCCGCTTTCACACAGCCCGTCAGTAAATGTGACGTCATCGACTGCTATATCTCCTTGATAGCCTCTGCCAACAACTGCGTTTAATACAACCTAAAAAGACATTCAACGTTAAAAAGTTTCCTTTTCATTTAATATTATCAAGTCCACTTTAGATTCGGCTCAAATAAAATACGGCGTCTGAGCAGGGCTTATGAATTCATCAAGTTTAAACAAAGGTAATAATTATCATGACAGTGGTTGGATAGCTGATCTTATTCAACATTTTCTCCTTAGTTCAGTTTCGATTGAGAAGATATATTATATGCCACGTCACTGATTTTTTTTTCCGCGCACCAATTCAAAAATCATATTGAATTAATATATTATTTTCAACCTTTTTAGATGAAAGGTGTGAAAGCCAAATGTATATGTTTCTATGAGTCCGCTTGATTACAAAAACATTTTCACAGCAGACTGCTATCCATCAGGGTATTTTCCTTTTACGGTCACCGTGGCCAAATAGTGTCTCTCCGCCGATAAACAATATCGCGTCACGTGATCGATTTAAACCAATAGGAATCGAAGAAAATTTGGTGGTGAACCATAGGAGGTGATAGTTAATGAGGCCGAAGGCCGAATCAACTATAGAAATCTTAGCCTCATAATCTAATTGCTAGTAGTCGAGGTTTCCTTACTTGAAACTCGTCGGCGTAGCCTAAGTCGACATTTGCCTCTCTCCACTGATTACCCTGCTCTCCTGACTTTTGCCACATCAAGTAATTGCCATATTGCCCTCGAATTTGAAGAAACACATCAAGATTTCCCATATGACTTCCATACATATGGTAATAAAAGCGAAAACATTTCGGTCCCCGAATGAGCGGACTCAGTAGCTGTGCAGAGTGTTTCTCTTTGGCGGGTTGTGACGTCTCAATGTAAATGTAGTATCCGTTCCCTGTGTGGGTAAGAAAATGCAAAGAAATATTAGCGACCTCTCTCTCAAATAAATAGGGAGCGTAAGTAACGACGACGGCGACGGCGACGGCGACGGCGACGGCGACGGCGACGGCGACGGCGAGGACTACACTTAGTCTAAAATGAATTTATATTTTACCGGCGAAATTCTCAATTATCTAGATCAGTTCAGTACGCCAATGGCTCTAAACACGTGCTCGGGCTAAATATGCCACGTCTGCGTTCAATTCCAAATGGAAATACGAAAAATTAGTCGTCGTCGTTGGCGTTCCTCGGATTACGAAGAACTTGGTCATTTCACTTTCTTGTTTTGTAGAGGACGGCAAAGAAATGTACAAAGATTTATAACGAACGTGAACAGCTATTGTTTTATTCATTTTTGTTTGGTGACATTCTCGTTGCCTTCATCGTCGTAGTTTGCTTAAGCTCCCTAATATCTTTTAGACAAACGTTGTTAACATCTTAGCGTGTGAGTCATTGAACTAGTAACAGGTCGTTCCAGGATGCTCTTCCATTTGAGAACCAGCAGGATAGCTTAAAGAAATTATGATAAATTCCATCGTGCAAGAATTATTAAGTTGCTTAAACTACGCTTAAACAAGCTGTAACAGAAAGGTGACTGTAACATACAGTCAATATAGAACCAAATTTCTCTCAACATATTTTTTAGATCACAATTATCAGTGAAAGTACTCGGAAGTGCTAGAGATACCCTTAAACGCTGTTATTTCTAGAAAGATGTGTTAGTTACCAGTGTGGTCCTGGCTTGGCCCAGTTCCGTGGCTTGGTGTATTAAATCTTCTGCGGAACCAGTGAATGTCGTCTTGAGGACTTAAGACGTTACGCCATCCACAATAGCTCTTATCGAAGGTACAGTTTGCTAGTATTAGAATGGGAAAAGATAAAATCTTACTAAAACAGTCGTCTACAAATAACCAATGAGAGTTTGCACATGACATGGAGGCCGGCGTATTACATGTTCCTTCGATTCTCTCTTCTTTTGGTAAACGAACACCCTGTTGTTTGGGAACACCAATGTGGTTGTAATGAAAATGTTGTATATTGAACTTAAATGTATGCAATGTGACCTTAATAAGATTCTTGGACCGTATGCATCCATATGTGGGTTGGATTCAGTTATACGTTTCTCCTTTCCAGGAATGGTTTTTCTTTGCTTTGCTACTTTTCCCAGAAAACAACACTTCAGTGTACAGAAGACCAGCACTAAAACTTGTGATGGCTGATATGTCAAGGCGAGGCTTCTATGACTTCAGTTCTGTTCGAAATTTTTCGGTTAACATTTTTGCTGGAATTTCCTTAAATAGAAGTAAAATGACCTACTGACATCGTACCTGACAGTAATACACTAAAGTTTAAAACAATTAATTCGACTCCCCTATCATTAACTAAAACTAACTGTCAAAAGTAATCTGTAAGGTTAAATGAGACAAATTCTCAATCGATCTTTTCTATCAAGCACGACATGAACAAGTATGTCACGAATGTTATGTGTTTCTTCAATATTTCACCTTTGAACATTACCTTCAAAATTTCCAGGTGGCGTATTTCTACCAGCAGAGACACAAGTCAAATTCTTGCTGAAACTAATGTCATCGATGGCGATATCTGATTTATACGTCAAGCCAGCTACGCCTTCTATTATGACCTGAAGTTGATAAATGCAGACATAAAGAAACTGGACACAAATGTCAGAGCGGAATGTTAAGATCCAAGTACACTATTACATGCGTCGGAGGTTGTATCGGCAGGTGAATGATCAAAAAATACATTACCACCCACGCCTCGGGGACTGCAAAGGGGGAGGCTAGGTAAGGTTCAGACTAGCCCTCCCTTCTTTTTTTGCTTGGGTTAACTTTTTAGCGCTCCATGGCCAATTAGTACGCAAAAACATGATAAATGGCGGAACAGTGATTCCTTATACTTGCTTGTCTTGGTCAGGTTTTTTAGCCCTCCCACTTTGTAATGGTCTTCGCGTCCCTGCAAATTCATTTCTGATTTTCAAATAAATGGGTTTAATTTAAGACGAGTTCATAATTAGCAAAGAAAATTAATTATTGAGCAACTGAGGAAGTACACTACTTCTCCATATGGATCCAATTATCAACAGTGATAGTTTTTATTGTGATTTATGACCTGCTTATTAGACCAATGTCACGTGTTTGTATTTTAGTGTGAATGATCGAAGCAATCGAATCGTTATATATTTTATGTTATACGTCACTGACTTCATCCCCACCTACCCTCCCTGAAAAAGGTGTCAATCGCAAGCATTAGGCGACGATGGTCCACTGTACAAAAATTGTTCTTGAAGAGAAAAAATGCGTTTGACCAGCCATTTAACGGATATTCAAACACTACTCAAGGTATTATAAATTCACAGTCAAGACTTTGTTTATACCCGATACGTCCCCGCGTAGTTTATGGTCAGGCATGTCTCAATCCAGTCTTTAGATACATGGCTTCTATAGCGGCTCCAAACTCTGTTTTCACTGCCATTGATTCTAACATAAATGGACAGGGACTCAATAGTGCTGCCGTACATGGAGTAGTAAAACGTCATCCGCTGTGCGCCTCTCATCCAAGGGCTGTTGAGCCTGGCCTTCTCATTATATTTACGAGGAAGTGACGTCTCAATGTAAATATATGAGCCATTACCTATAGAAAGCTATTGTTAATGAAAAGTCTTGAAAATAACGGTTCTTTCAATTCTGTGTGAATTTTATCAGTTGTTGTAACTGGTTCTACAATCGTCTCTGGGAAAGTGCATTGAGTTCAACAAAGTGACTTCGCTATAAATTTGAACAAAAAAGTTAAAGGGGCTCAGTCACGGCAATTTGAGTTATTTTGGCCACGTAAAAAAATGCATTTAAATTGCAGGAGATCTGACAAAGTAGTTTACTAAGATAGAGAAACATCACAAATATAATAATAAACTATAAAGGAACAAGGATGGTAAAGGATGGAGACGATTAACGCGGATTGCAAACGACGAATTTGAAACATTTAGGCTAAACTTTTCAAGACAACCAAACCGTGACCTGGCTCCTAAGTGCACTTACACAAAAATACATTTTAAAGTTAGGTAGTAGTAAACTTAGGCACCAAATAGCAAGGTTCTTTAAATATTATATTTTTTTACCTGTGTGATCACTGATCGGTCCGGTATTACTACTAGGAGTGCTTCCTCGCCAAAGACGCCAGTCAAAATGATCGGCGTATTTTTCGTTACGCCAATCACAAAATTGGTTCTGATCGAAGGTGCAATTACCTAACAAGTGATAGAAAATGACTCATTATGTAAAATGAACGGTATTTTGGTTTTATTGTGAATGTTCTTGGTGCAAAACCATCGCATACTCGAACCAGTCAAAAGTTATCTGATTTAAGTTAGAGAACGAGGTCTGGATTCATAAATTTTGGGATTTAAAGGTCACTGATTTTTGTCTACACCTGAAGGACAAACACATACATAACCACAAAAAGGCTCGTCTCAGATATCCAGTTACAATAAGACAAAGCATATTTCTAAGAACAAGAAAAAACCTTTTATTTCTTTTTTGCTTGTTAGTTTGTGTATACTGGGAAAGAAACAAGATGATACGAGCTTCACTACACGCCGCCTTGTCCTAGATCTCCCCCAACATTCTGTATTTATGTCACTTTAATTCTAACCGGGCTTATTGATAGTGTGAACATGTTCACTTGCGCCTATTCTTAGGCCTACCCTGTAAGTATAAACTAAATTTCGTGGATTACATGTTTTAGAGATGCCCGGCTGAGTTCCTAGTTCACCAAGTGAGCCGAGAGAAAAAAAAGAAAACGGCTTCTCTAGAGGTATTGTCAGTGAATTCTGTTTCGCTATACTGAAGGTATCCTTGCCGGATTAAGCCTACTGGTTAAACCCTGCTTACTTGATGACATAGCGGGTCTGCAGCTTGATAACCCGCGATCACACCAATTTTTACGTTGTCTGTAGTTTTAAATTGATCGCGCGACCAGGTTAAGCCAAAAGCTAAATACAAGTAGACGCGCAGGAGAAGTTATTTAACTGATCGGAGGGCGAAAGCCAGATCGATACTGCAGTCTGAAGAACGTTTGAAGGTAATAATACCCTTAACTGGGATTTACTTTGTATCGGTCTCATGAAGGTACAGATATTGTGTATGTAAGCATTTCAGTCCCATGCAGCATGAACAATGCAAGTTCTAAAGCGGCCATTTATCTTTTCTGAGTTTGTTTTCATAGATTCATTTTAATATGACAGTCACTTTAAGAGAGCTCTTTAATTTGGTCTCCGACTGAACTCGTTCGAGCTACTTCTCGTGAAATTGTTTTTAATAGAACTTTTAGTAGCGGGATCTCACTTTGCACAAAAGTGAAGTACAGGTAACACTTAGGAAAAGCCTTTAGTTGCTTTTGAATGCAGTCATCGATAATCCGACATTTTACATCATAGCAAACGGCATCTCATTATTTTTACAATTTCCGCTTAAAATTTGGTTCGCCCTCAGGTTCGGCCTCAAGAAGCACATGAACAAAGCAAACGAGCGCTTTGCTAGAAGCAGCTGATGCTTTCATCCGAAGCCAGGAGGATTTCAGCGCTTGGCCTGATTAGAAAATAGAATCCATTTCGTTTATTTGACTTATTGTAAAAGAAGCGGCAGCTGCATTTAACAAAGCAAGTATCGAGTGACAACTTGCGGACTTATAACGAAAGAAGGGAGTAGGCGCTATTATTTCAAATTACAGCCCAAAACTCCTCCTTAGCTTGGTCGTATCTTTAGTTTCATCATTACCAGTTAAGGTATTTAGCGTGTTAAAATTCAGTTCACATTAGTGAATTAATAACCCAGCTATCCTTGAAATTTCATTAACGTGTCAAATACAATCGATAAATTCAATATACGATTTTCGCTCACTTCGTTTATTCCATGAAAGAAAAAGTTAAGGAACCTTTATCTGCACGCTTTTGAGTAAGTGTTGTTAATCTGAAAGGGCAAAGGTTCGCCGCGAAAAAGATTTTAAATCTCAAGATATTATGGTTGTATTTATTTTAGCTAATAGGAAATGATTGCGAATTTAAACAAGGTAAGGTGGGAAAATTGCTAGTTTCCGCAAGATAAGGATAACTGTAAAAGCCGTGTTTCTTGACAAAAATTCAAATGAAGGTGAAAACCATTCCATAGAGAGAAAAAAATTAATACCGAACTGAATATTAGAAAATTGACACAATTCATGAAGGAGGCACAATATGCCCAGTAACTAGAATAAAAGGGACTTTGCAACTGCTTAGTCAGTACAATCGCGAGTGAAAAGCTAAGTTACTTCACTAACAAGAAAAAAATAACAGTGGGAATCTACAACGAAATGAAGAAAACTTACCGGTAAGATCCAGTGAAGAGACGTCTCTTACGAGAAATTCACAAGTTGCAAATAATAAATACGTTCCCTGGAGAAATATCAACATGAGTATCCCGTAGTATGCGCAATCTGAAACGTTAAGAGAAAGAAAATAACAGTGCTTCAAAGTTTCCTGCTGTCGATTACAGATTAAGTGCTCTAGAACTCAATTTGCTTTACTTTTAAAGGGTTTTTCGAACGCATCAGAGTGCGACGCTCCATAAATTGTCCTCTAAGAGGGCCTTACTTCGTGATGTATTATGTTACTTGCACGCCTGTCACAAAATTGAATATTTAAGATACCCTCTAACTAAACATTCAAGCCAAACACACATTATCGATGTGTGGTTAAATCTAGACAGACATTGTGTATCAACCTGGGTCTCAGAACGTAATGGAAAATAAGAAAGGCAAATCAGCATAAAGATTGAAGAAAAAAAAAACTGATAGAAGAGCTTTACAACAAGGTTACTAGGACGCTGTTTCGAGACAAAAAGTTTAAAGCGAAAAAATTTAATGCTGTCTTCATTTAAAGGCTCCAACGCACAAAATGCTAAATAGTAAAATAATCCTCCAGAATCCTTCGGAGATAAACAAAATATTTTATTAAAAATGCCTAAATTCATCAAAAAGTCACAGCATAAAAGCAAGACGTGTATACATATTAAAAGTAAATTTTCCTGACTATTTTTGCAATGAATTTGCTAGAAATATGTGTCACCAGCTGCTGTGTAAAGCAAACGAAAGCAAAGGTCGCAATTTAGTTTGTTGGAAATCATCATAGACTGCCTCTATTTAAACAAGACACCTTTCTTTATTGATAATAAAAATGGTCTATCAGCTTTCCAAAAAGGTAATATTAAAAAAAAAAAAAGAAATTAATGCATTGACGTGGCAACGTATTTTTTCAGAAGCCATAGGCCGTCAAACAAGTATGACTGTTCCACTCTTATTTTAATAAAAATATTGTTTTTTTTTTCCAGCCGAGGCTGAATCTTCTTATTTTTCTGCCGATTTTAGGCTGAAAATATTTTAAGGACTATTATTTGATTATAGCGTATGGCATTCCTGTTTTCGAATATATTTGGTGCCGGTCTGGGTGTTGTTAAAGTAATTTTGGAGCCAGCCCGCAGGCACTAACTTCTTGCAGAAATATGTTGTTAGCATCGAACATACGGCAAGTGCTGTTTTGTCGTTTTTTGGATAGTGTTGCCGATTTGAGAATAGATTAAGAATTTTGTACGCTTTATTCGGTTAAAAACACATAATTGCATTGTCTTGAATTTACAAAATTTCAAGACACAAATTTCAAAATTTCGGCCTCTGGTTTATTCTTAAAATATTCTTAAAATTTCGCAAATTTCAACCTCGATGTTCTTATAAAATATATTCTTATAAATAAGAGTGTATTAATTACCTGTTTCAATTTGGAGTCAAAACCCGTCAAATAGGATTCAAAGTTTTCCTCTGTATACAGCCTTTTTAGATAACGGTCGTGCTTTAGAAACGTTAGGCCTCGCCAGGAAACCGAAGAGTATACATTTACTAAATATCGATAATTTATACCAATTCGGGAAACATTATTCCTAGCTTTTCCTTTGTCAAAACCTTGCAAAATCCTCACACTAATGCAAACTTCTCAAAGGGGGATAGGCAAATTCTTTAGGTGTAAAATGCCAACTAGTACTTGCTGATTTAGTCTTCATCCAGCACCCAACCACCATTCGGTCTTGTCACCTTGCCTCTTCTCTTCTTTTCGACAAAATTTCTTGAAATAACCGTTGTTATTTTCCTTTAAACGGAACGGTTCTTTTACGAAAGGCAACCGTTCAACGAGGTTCGACAATAAATTTAGTTTGTACTTCCTTCCGTAAACAGGACTGCTCCTTTTGAGCTAAAAATAGTTAAAAAATTCAAGTTGAAGGGTCGTGAATAAATCGATTTATGAATTAATGTTTCGGATATATCTTCATGGATGTCCTAAAAATCGATACCACAAAAAGCAAAATACTCCGGAACAACCTGTTCACTTTGGCTCTCAGCGTAACCATGGTAACTGTTAAATAAATTGTTTCTTTAATTCTTGAACAATGAATACTAGAGTCATGGATTGTGCTAAAGAACACTCAGGAAAGTTAGCAATCTGAAATTCCGGATCTAGATTTAGGAGCAGGTAAGAATCTAGAATTGAGATCCTTTTTTTAGAGTCCAATATCAGTTATATGAAAAGCAGATCAACAATCTAGTCCGAGAGTCCAGAGTCAGAGGTCCAGCCGTAATCTAAATTTCCGGAAGACGGGAATTAACTGTGATAATGAGCGCATTTATTAAGGAGACAGGTGAAAGTGAGTAAATTACCCAGACTACAGCCACGCGCATATCATCTTGATACTGCAATAAACTTTTCACTAGTTCAACGACATTTTAGCGGCGAAAATATACTCGCCTACTCTTAGCCTAGTCTAACGGTGTGCAATGAGCAATTAAATTCGCTCCAACGTAATTATACGTTAAAAAATACACTAAATTATCGGACCCCAAATTTGTTCAATTTAAAACGCGCCTTGAAATTATGAGCGGAAGTTATGCTGGCGTGGTTGTTAAGAATGAAACATTCATGGCAAATATGAATAAGTCATATATCAACTGCGGACGGAATATAAAATGGATTCAGTAATGACTCTTGTAGTCGTTTGCAGTTGTCAAAAGTGCTGGTTCATTGTGCACTTAATAAAGGGCATTGCGCCGTTAACACGGAGGTCGGTTGTTTAATTAAATCCCGTTAAAGTAGTTAGACAAGCTGTAGTTTTGGGAACGGGAAATGCGATAAAGCAGGTTAGGAAACCGCCCGCAAGGCGTGTTTGGGCATAAAGATTAGTTGAATTTTTCCATACTGCATTTCATTATACCCCAGTAAAAAGAAAAATGTTCTCACTTTCCCTCTTGCGTGGAACAAGACATCTTTTGATCAGTAATACGTAGGAGAATAGTATGTCATATACATCACTTACAAATTATGAAATTTGTTCTTCTAATTAACAACAGATTTATATTTTCAGCGTCCTATTAGTTTAGCAACAATTGTCGCTGATGTGGATGTAAACAAAAAGGAAAATATAATAAAATAAACATGGTTGGCCGGGCGGCCGGAGATTCTGACTTTCACAGCTAGGGATCCAAGGCTATCTCCAAAACTTAGTATGATACTGAATTCGAGGCACACAGCACTTAAGCATATGTTTTACTAACAGTGCAAGGAGTTGAATTGAGACTTGTTACGGGGAAAAAGAAATGAAAAAATGTCTGCAAGGATTGCCTCAATGGTTAACTACTATCTCCTATATCTCACCCGATGTTCAAAAAAGGTTACCAAGAAATTAGTTTCTGGTGAAAAGAAAACACCTTGCTGATGCAGGAGTTTTTGCACCATTTTACGCAAGCATCTTTCCGTAAACTAAGGTTGTTCTAACCTTTAAATCTGGTGATTCCTCTGTTAATCTATGCAGTGTTGTCTCGATACTTTTTTGTTTGCGGCCAGTGGACTCTTTTGCCTCGTGCCAGTCAGTGCGTGCGTGCCAGTCAAACCATTGATGAGGCGGTACTGTCGAAATTCAATCTCGAAATTTTCTCTCCGTGTGTCATTAGCTGTGACATGAATTAGAATTTGCAGAACAATTTAGATTTGCATTGGCAGTATAGGCCATTAACAAATGAGGTAAACCTATACTCAATGGCAAAATTTGTCGTTTTAACCAACCAGGAAGCTTCTTTCTCACTTTCACGATTGACGATACACACTCATTAATCGTTTTAATGCATAGTACCTGTCTTCGCTTAAACATTCGATTGATTGAATGTGAATTCAACA